TCACTATGAGTCGGAACCAACTCCACGGTACTTAACAACAAGCAAAGCCAGGAATATAGGTTACTTTGAAATATTTACTTATATCCATTTTAATGAAGAATTAAAGGATACAATGCATTAAAGACACAAATTTAAAAGACTAGCAGTGGGGGTAAAATTAGAATAAACACATTTTGTTTATATCCTAAACAAGTACAAGACTTTGAAAGTGTAGTGTAATTCGTATTTTCTTTCCAGTTTCAAAATATCTATTCAACGCCTCTATCTTTGGTGTCACTGCCACCAATAAACACAGTACACAGCTTAGAAACCTAACTACTATGTCAATGAGGAAAAAGCAAACTGACATCATTTCCTTTAAAAGAACATATAAAGAATGTGATCCTATTTCATTTGTCACATGGTCCCACCGTATTGTGAAGTACCACACCAAAATGTGAAATTTCATTAGGGGAAAATTATCATTTGCTATAGAACCGCACCGTAACTTAAGTTACTGTACACTGGAGTGATGGCAGCTATAGTGCACAGAGGCCACGGAGCATTTTCCTATACATATGTGTAGCTCACAATTAGCAAAAAGAAGGTTTAGTCTAACGAGACGCTAAATCACGGACAACATAATGCCTTCATGTAAATACATGACCACTTCCTTCTTCGGTTTAAGAGGATAGTGTAATGATCTTAAATCCACACAACACATTCAGAAACATGGTAGTTATTCATGATTACAATAAAATAGTAATGTAAATTAATTTAACACAGCGTTAAATATATTCACATGATCGCTACTGTGATTCAAAACACTAAAGACATTACACATCAATATATGTACATAACATTTGTCACAACAGCATTTTGTTAAGTTTGACTTTGATTTTCCTCAGACCGGGTAATTTTACAAGACAATCGTGAATCAATTCTTTCACATTATGAAAAGAATTAAACGTTGTAAGTAGTTTCATTCCTCTAGGTGGAAAGGAGCAGGTGGGGTAGAAGAACTCTAAAAAGTCAGTGCAAATTGAGTAGTTCTACCTTCTTGGATATTTAAATTTGTTGACCAAGATAGATTCCTATATGTTGAGGATAAACAAATCTTACGATATTAAAGAATTTCATAACGTTCTCAACTGCATTTAGCAGATATCTGCTGCAAAGAGGAATCCCAAGTCCTATAGCAGAGCCTTCTGAGAATATGGTTGCTGTGGCTGAGGTGGCTGTTGACTGCCTGCTGCTTGAGGCAGAGTTGATGACGTCAAATTATAGTTTTGCAACTGAGACATATTAGTTCCTGCATTCTGGTATACAGTGACATCAGCAGCAGCAACAGCAGCAGTAGGAGGGGGTGGACTATATACTGAAGCCTGGTTGGGATATGCATTTCCTTGGACAGAAGTGACCATTGTGCTGTGGAAGGAGAAAAAAAAACACTAAATTACATAAATACTGAATGATATTCACATTTAGAGATAAACAGAAAGCTACTGATCATTCATCCATTCAAGATATTATTTATTAAATATCTATAATGTCCTTCAACCTATTTAATTCATGTATTGTTAAGTGCCATCATCAGTACCGGCTCATAGCAACCCTATGCACAAAAGAATGAAACACTTGCCTGGTTCTGGGCCAACCTCACAAATGCTGCTACGTTTGAGCCCACTGATGCTGCCACTTGGCCAATCCATCTTGCTGGGGGTCTTCCTCTTTTTCTCTGACTCTCCACCTTACCAAACATGATATCCTTCTCCAGTGCCTGGTCCCTCCTGACAATATGTCTGAAGTATGAGAGATGAACTTTGGCCATCCTGGTCTCCAAGGGGCACTCTGACTGCACTTCTTCCAACACAGATCTGTTGGTTCTTTTGGCAGTCCATGGCACTTTCAATACTCTCCTCCAACACCATAACTCAAAGGCATCAATTCTTCTATGGTCTTCTGCATTTACTGCCCAGCTTTCGCATGCATATGATGTTACTGAAAATACCATGGCTTGGGTCAGGCGCACCTTAGTCCTCAAGTTGACAGCTTTGCTCTTCAACACTTTTGAAAAGGTCTTGTGCAGCAGAATGAGAAAAAATCCCCTAGCAATCATGGTGCTTACACTCCCATAGGAGAAAACGACAATGAATCTATGTCAAGTGGTAATAACTGCTAAGGAGAAAAATAAAGCACAGTAGAGAAGGGAAAGACTACCCAGGGCAAGGGAGTCTCTTTTATAGAGCTGATAGGGGAAGGCCTTTCATATAAAGCAACATTTTAAGCAGAGATCTGAAAAAAAGTAAAGTAAGGTATATCAATTATCTAAGAAAAAACATATTTCAGGCAAAGAGAACAAGTGCAGCGGCTCTGAGGAGAAAATGAATTGTCAAGGAACAACAAGGAGGCCATGAGGGCTGAGGCAAAGTAAGTGAGGAGAGGGGAGTAGGATACAAGGTAAAGTGGCAGCATTAACAGGCGAGGGACCTTAGAACTTACAGGGGATTTAAAAAGTTCACAGAAAATTTCCTGATAGTTTTAAAGCCCCCTCATACAGTACCTTGTATATCATAAAAAAGAATCTGGCATATACTTTGACTAAGATGGAAAGTCATTAGTTGGTTTTAGGCAGGAGAGAGCGATGTGACCTAATTTATGAATTAACAAGTTTATTTTGGGGATAAGGATAGAAGTCAGGATACCTGACTGGAGGTCATTACAGTAGCCTAAATGGGAGATGGAGTCATGGTGTAGCACTGTATGATAAACTGCTACTTGGAAACCCTACACAGGGTCGCTATGAGTCTGAAACAACACGATGGCACTCAACAAGGTCAGAGCTACTAGGTGGCTTGAGGTATTTCATGGTGAAAATGGAAGAAAGGGTCAAATTCTACATGAGTTTTGAAGGCAGAGCCCTCAAAATTTGCAAATGGATAAAGTAATCAATGTCTGAGGCTTTAGGATGGACTAACTGGTAAAGGGACAGTATACCTGGTGCACTGTACAGTATCCTTTCACTGAAAAGAAGACTGGAGCTAGAGCAATCCTAGGTTTCTGGAAGGAGAAGCAAAAAGAATGGTTTTGGATGTGTCAGTGAGATGTCTATGAGGTTTAATGAGCAGGCAGTCAGCTATGAGGTTAAAGGACTAGAAATACATTAGGGTGTCATCAGCATATAAATGGGCTGGATGAGACCCCTTGGAAATGAGTGCTAACAGGGGAAAAAAAAAAAAAAAAGGCCATATACTGGGAGGCTAGACCTCAAAGCCATGAAGATGAAAAGATGTTAGGCAAAGGTGAGTGAGAAGTGACAGTGAGGCAGAAGGAAAACTCAGAGAGAACAGTGATGAACAACCCGCGATATACTGATGACACATCGTTGTTTGCTTGAAGCAACGAGGACATAAAATACTGATGAAGATCAAACCCTTATAAAGTGTCTCTATGAGTCTGAATCAGCTTGACAGCACAAAACAACAACACTGTACAGAAGGAAATACACCTACTCCTCACTTACTGTCTTGTCAATCAATATTTTGCATATACAGCAATAGTAAAAAAATCTAATATCTGACTAGTCTACCCAATAATTACACACATCTGGTAGTAATGAATGCCGAGGTGTGAGGCAAAAGCAATGCAAGTTGTGATGGTTAAGGTGATGTGTCAACCTAGCTGGGCCATGATTCTCAGCAGTCTGGCAGTTATGTAGTGATGGACTTTGGCAGGTATATAATGATGCAGTCACTCTCTACTTGGTGATCTGAAGTGGTCAGCCTCCAATTTCACATAAAGGTGATTTTTGAATAACGATCTAGTCGTTGGAACCTAGCCATAACACTACAGGGTTTTAGGGCAGCACACAGGAAGAAAGGTGCTGGAGAGATGGGAAGATTAGAAGAGAAAGGCTTCCAGTAAAAACGACAGCTAAGCTAAGAGCTAAAGACTAACACTGAACAAGCCAGACACAGGACTAAATGTTTCAAGGATATTATCTCCAAAAGGATCTGTTGAAATGAACACGTGTTTCTTGAGAAGTGACATTCACAGCTACAGTATCCACAGTGCCTAGCCCCTAAACACAGAGCAGGCCCTGCACACACTGACTCCAGAGGCACACATCGAGAACCAGCCAGAGGCTAGCAGCAGGGCAGCACAGCTCCACATGATGGTACAGCGAGAGGCCCACCAGCACACTATGTTATTCACAAGGATAATTTCTGAAGGCCTGAACTTTAAGAATGGGGCCCTAGTAATCTCCTTCCTCTAACAATATAGACCAGTATGTAAGACAGAGGACTAGCAGAAAAGGAGGTGGCATTCCTGGCTAATAACATATCTAAGGGGTTCCTGGTAAGCAGTGGCTGACTTCTCAGTAATATTTACCTGTATCTACTTTGTATCAAGTTCTAAAGCAACACTTCCAAGAATAGACCCCTACCTGATTGCTTATTTTCCTTGAATGTTCCTTTTCACCACATTTTAACTTTAGAGAAAAAGGCTGGGACTTACTATTTCTTCGTGTGTTACATAACCAAGTAGGGAAGGCCCTTGATGCTATAATGTGGTTGTTAAGTGCCTCTGAGTTAGTTCCAACTCCTAAAGACCGCGTGTCGGCTTTCTGAGGAGTGACTTGTAGTTTTGAAGCACCAGCCTTGCAGCTCAAGCCAACCCTGTGGTCCAGTGCATTACCGTATAATGCCAATAAGCCTATTATTGTCCTTCTTAAGGTAACTCGATGGCACTTAACAACAACAACAACAACAAGGTAACGTCAGAATAAAAGATGTGATAACAAAATAATGCTTAAAATTGCTTAAACCTCTTCAAAAGGTGACTCTTTGAGGATGAATAGGGCAATAGTGAGGCAGTGTAGGAGTGTTCCTGGGCAACTCCTACACCAATGGGGAGTTCTAGACATTGGGCCTTTGCCACATAGAAACTTCAGTTACGAGTCAGAATACCTATAACTTCTAAAATTTGTGCTGTTGATGTTGATGTTAAGTGCCATCAAGTCAGTTCTGACTTATAGCAACCCTGTACAGACGGTTTCCACAAAGAGGTTGGTGGGTTTGAAAGTGCCGACCTTTCAGTTAGCAGTCCAGTGCTTATCCTACAGCAACACACCAAGACTCCAGAAGACGTGCTAGTTAATAACACTTAAAGCCTACCCCTTTTTTGCTTCAAGGAAAAGACTTTAAAGCAGAAAAGGCAATTATAATTAGCAAGCATTTAACTACATGATAAAACCAAAAGCAAACTTGCTGTCTTAGAGTAGACTCTGACTCCTAGCACCCTAATGGACAGAGTAACACTGTGCACAGCGTTTCCTAGGCTGCAATCTTCACAGGAGCAGACTGTCACATCTTTCTCCCTTAGAGCAGTAGCTGGTGGGTTCGTACTGTCAACCTTTCAGTTAGAAGCCAAGTGCTTAACCACCACACCAACAGGGTTCCTTTTAACTACATGGTAGGGAGCACTATAAGTAAATGATGCAAACTATGCTAATGGGCACCTATCATCTGCCCCCTGGCGTGGTGCTGTGGGTTAATGCACTGGACTGCAAGGTCGGTTTAAACTGCAAGGTCTGTGTGTTCACCAGCTGCTCCTCAGAAACCCTATACAGGGTTGCTGTGTATTGGAACCAACTCAACAGCAGTTAACAACAACAACCTCTTTTATTCAGCTACAGGGACACACACATATAGCTGCTTGTACCTTCTCTTTTCTGTTAAGAGGATCTTCCAGCACAGGGAAAAAAAGGAGGTATCTGTTGTCAAGAGATAGTGTTTACCCTACAGTACCACCAAAGCTCCTTGAAAGAGGCCAGAAGTATAAATTCTAAGACAATAACCAAAACATTCAGATTTTATATCAAATGTGGAAAAATGCCAACTTACAGTTATCAAGGAGTCCTGGTGTAGCACTGTAGTTTTAAGCACTAGACTAAAATGTTAGTTTAAATCACAAGGTCAGCAGTTCGAGCTCATCAGCAGTTCCTAGGAAACCCTATGGAGGAACAGACTGGATGGCACTTAACAACTAATAGTTATCAAGGAGCCCTGGTGGTGTCGTGAGCTACACACTGGGCTATTAACCACTTGGTTGGTGGTTTGAATCCAAAAGCTGCTCCATGCTAGAAAAGATGAGGCTTTCTACACCCATAGAGATACAAGACCTATAGAGAGGGTCACTAATGAGTTGGAACTGACTCGATGGCACAAAACAATAGCTACTAAATTTAAGTCTCAGTAAAGTCTTTATCAAATATCATTGTAGAATTCAAATGAAAGCAGAGCCATAAAAACTAATAGTAGAAATATAAAAACTATGGAGCTCAACACAAAAGAGCACTGCTTAGTGAGTGAGTAAAACAGAGGAGTGGCTTCTGGCACTGAAATGCCTCAGGAGCTACTGTGGAACCCACTCATTAGCAGAAACAGGGCTGACCCTCTGGCAACTACAACTGTTTTCTCATCCAGTTTTTATGGTTACAGATAATCAGGCAGCACTTCAGAGTCTCAACAGCACTAACTCTAAATAAAAGTCAACAAACAATTTACTTGGGATAAGAAGTCTGAGCTTGCTGACTCGGAAGGGCTGGGTTTGCAGTCGGCGGACCGGCTCCTTGGCTGAGAGAAGACAGTTGCTCTGGGGGAAGGCTGTAGCTCTGCAGATGGCTCATCTGTGCATTCCCTGCAACCAGATAAGCACCAGTCTGAGGAGGCCCTGGATATACCTAGAACAGTTAATGATAAAACTCAGTAAAGAAGAAATAGATTACTCAGTTACAACAAGCATAACAATTACACTGTGGGTTTTTGAAAAATGACTTTTGTTGACATTAAACAATTTCTAGTGAAGTGGGCTTCTTTTTCCTTCAGTAAATTTAGCTGAATTCATGTTTATTTCCATGCAGCTATAATAAAGGAACTTATCAAGAAACTTTATATCTCTATTTGTTGCTGTTGGTAAGTACCATGGAGTCAGTTCTGACTCATAGTGACCTTGCACAGGGTTTCCGAGGCTGTAAATCTTTACGGGAGCAGAACGCCTCATCTTTCTCATGGTAGTTTCGAACTGCCGACCTTGAAGTTAGCAGCCTGATTCATAAACTACACTACCAGAACTACTTCCTTAAAAGGAAGCCTAAAGGATGGTTAGGCAGTGTATTGGAACCCATAGTTTTAAATCAATAGGCTACTTTCAGCGGTGGTTAAATTTTACATTTCCTAAATTGCATACATATGAAGCTAACTTTCTAAAGCTGAGGTCAGCAAATTTTTTATTTGGGGAGGGGAGGTAAAGGACAGATAGTAACTATTTCAGGCTTTATGGGCCCTTAAGGAGCTCTGCTCCTGTAAAGATTTATAGCCTTGGAAACTCTATGCAAGGTCACTATGCGTCAGAACCGACTCCATGGCACATAACCACCAACAACCATGGTTTCTGAACAAGGATTCAACTTTAACAGTACAGAAAGCAGCCACACAATGTTTTTAAAGAATTATGTAGTTATGTTCCAATAAAACTTTATTTATAAAATCAGGAGACAAACTACTCCCACACACCTGAAAAAAGCATATTTAAAAAAACATTCTTGAGATTGAGTCTTAAACGCTTGAAACCTTACACACACACACTCACTGCCATGTAGTTGGTTCTGATTCAGAGACCCAATATGGGTTTTCAAGACTGTAAATCTTTACAGGGGCAGACAGCCTCACCTTTCTCCTGCAGAGTGGTTGGCAGGTTTGAACCACTTACCTTTTGGTTATCAGCCCAATGTCTAACCCACAGTGCTACAGGGCTACGTAAAAACACAAAACATTCTAATTTTGTATACCGTTTCACCAGCTTAAAAGAAAGAACTCTATTGTCTATGGAGTAAGACTGTTGTTAAATGCCGTAGAGTCGGTTCAAACCCATAGCAACCCTGTATAGAATTTACAAGGAGCGACCGGTGAGCTTGAACCGCCAACCTTGTGGTTCAAACCAACGTTGCAGTCCAGTGCATTAACCCACAGCACCATACCAGAACAGGTTAAAAGATTAATACTATCTAACACCAGGAAACAAGAACAATTATCCTAGCACTTCTATTAAACCACATGACACACCAGACATCAGAATCCAAGGATCTTCATTATACTCATATCTGAAGCACTTGCACTGTGGTGGGTGGTGGTGGTGGTTATGTGCCGTGGAGTGGGTTCTAACTCATAGCAACCCTGTAACAAGGTTTTCGAGGCTGTGAATCTTTACAGGAGCAGAAAGCCTCATCTTTCTCCCGCGGAACGGCTGGTAGTTTCGAACTGCTGACCTTGCGGTTAGCAGCCTGACTGGTAACCACTACGGTTAAACACAATACCAGCGTATTTAAACACAAAATTGTTTTTGTTTGAGTTTTGTACAAACTAGTAATCAAGACCGCTGAGCAGCTGTCATCCTAGACCCAGATGTCTCAAAAGTCTCTCTGCTCATCTCAGGGTTCTGGCCTCCAGTTACAAGGAAGAAGCTAGTAGGGCATGAAGCAATTGAAAATCAAACAAACAAGCAGGACCTTCAGAATCCTGTCTGTGCCCACTCTGCCAGGGTAAAGCAGAATGCCTGGCTAGTTGCACCCTATGTTCTGAACTACTTCATTTGTGGAAAAGGGACTATTAAAATAATTGCTTGAAATAAGTTGACAAAAAAAGGCTCTCTATGTTGTATTACTATGGGTCGGAACCGACTCGACGGCACTTAACAACAACAACAATGTTGTATTACAGGCATTCTCACATGCAGGGGGCTGGGGAATTTTCAGATCGATAATGCTCACTGAAAAACCATTAATACTCAGAAGAATTCAGTAACAATTAGAAATGCTACTCAGAGAGACAAAAACTACAGTTCTTAGCTAGAAAATTACTATGACTCTTTAAAAATACCCCTGAAGTCTAGGGTAAATTATGCTAAAATATCAATATTTTTTAAAAGGAAGAGAGGGGATCAACTAATGGGCCTAACTAGTTTATTCATTTAGATTTTATTTTTAGTCTGAACATTACATCTAGAAAGCTACATTTTCTATAAATACAAAATTATATCAAATAATTTCAAATGTAAAAGGATATGCTTGAGTTTTAAATGCTCACCTGAGAACCAGAAACACCTGATGACTGCATGTAATACTGCTGATTCTGTAATTTTGCATACATAGAATACATTGGATCTTCATTCATTAACTTGGTATACAAAGAAAGTGCTTCCATCACTTTTACATTAAGTTCTGAGAGTTCTGAATGTTTTCTGAAATGTTACAAAGTAATTTGAAACATAGTTGTTTAAATTATACAATGTTCTAAATTAAGGCAATTAAAACAGAAGTGACAACTTCAAGAATTATTAAAACTCTGTGTCATAGACTTTCCTGTATTTTAGCCCCAAGACTTTATTTAAGGTTTAGGTACTGTGCTGGGAAAATTCTAGCTAATTACAATTCACATCTTAAAATACCTAGATTTCTCTAGTTACAATCAGATAGAGATACTTGTGGATACTGGTGAATACAAGTTAGTAAAGGTGATTACATGAGTTAAGCACCAATGAGTCAAAGCACAGACAGAAACAAGTGAATCAGAATTAGTTCCCTTGGAACTAATTTTTTTTTCTTAAAGAAAAAGATAAAAGATAGCTATATCCCACTACATAGTTTATAAAGAACTTCAAGTAAGACACTATATAACATACATGCAACATGTGTTCTTTTACCTATCAATATCCTCCAGTTTTTCATCAATGAGAGGTCCCATCTGGTGACACACTGCTACAATGACAAGAGTTGAATATAAGACAACACAGCAAAAGAAATCAAACCTTTGTTATTTGTATAATTTAAGATATAATGGTTTTAATTACATACTCAGAAGAATTTATAAAAGCTGTATTAATTAATTTCAATTCACAGGACCTAAGATCGATTTTCTTAATGTAAACTGACAACAATTTAATCTAAAATATTTATGACAAAATCTAAAAATACCATTACAGGACCCTAAAATGTTGTAGGTTTTATTTGGGAAAAAAAAGTTTAAATAAAGAATTCAAATTCTAACAAAGGTTTAATTTCATATCAAAGATGAAATTAGGTCAAAGAAAAGTGAGAAATTAACTTATGTTTTTATATTTTTCTCAATTGTATTTATACAGATAACTGGTGTATAATAGAACATTAGCTATAACTTCTATTTTGTTATTTATAAGATAAAGGAAAAATATGGTTTACCTTCTAGATGAACTAACTCTGGCAAATCTGGTTGATCATCACTGGGATCTGTACTTTGCAACATCTGTAGCAATTGGTCCATTTTATCCTATGGGAGTAATACAGTTAATATAAAAAGCAAAAAACCTTTATGTTCGCACTCCCTTACTAAGAAAATCGTTAAGAAGATAATGGATACCGGGATTCTGTAATTCATAGTTATGAAGACTCCAATTTCACTTTAGTATATCTAGTAACCCATGGATTCTCTTTAGTAGCATATGAAGCAGAGCCTTGAAAACTCTACTTATTTTTGGAAAATGCTAACACTCTCTTTAAAATAAGAAAACATAGAGCTATATTTACACTTATAACATGTGGGCTGTCAATCTCTTGTGCTATGCTAATGGATTTTGGTCAAATTTATAGGAGCAGCTGTACCCTAGCCACAGACAGGTGTATATCCCTCTCAAGGTGCAAGTGCTTATGACTAACAACTCAGTTATGACTTCTTCTCTACCACACTGAATACAGCAGCTGTTTCTGAAGTCTTAACTCAGCTACATTACAGCTGTTGTCCTTCTAAGAAGAACCATAAGGGTTTATTCTACATTTTCTTCCACCAATGCTTCAGTTTGTCACGAAGGCAAGAAAGATTTGTGGTTTCTTTTCTCTTAGGTGAGGAAGGCTAAAAGTATTTCAAACCAACGATTCAGATATGCTTCACAGAATCTTTTCTTGTAAGAACCAATGAAACTAATGAAACAATCATGTCACATGTATTTATGTGTATGTTTCTAAAACTCAAAATATAGATCTAGTACACCAAAGCACACTATCAAGTTAATTACAAAGGTTATGCTATTTATATACACATGTACACAAGGTAAATAAATCATTTAAACTACCAAATTCTAAACAAAGTAGTCATTTAAACTCAGAACAAAATTTGAGTGAATTCATCAAGAGTAACATGACACGTAAAACATTTTCCAAGTTAAGAGAATTCTGCATTTTGAAATGGATACTATACCGCTTATTGTCATTATGCAAAATCAGTTATGCTAAAATTGGGGGCTGTGCCTTATTTTTGGCACATGTTTTTTGGCGCTGCCAGTTGGGCACCCCTGGTGTGTCTCAAGATGTGCATGGTGCAACAGGCCCCCATTCCATATCATGCCATCCCCTCCACTCTAGGGTCCATGAAAGTTGTAAGGGGGGAGGGTGGGGAGCAGGATGATCAGTATTATCTGGCATCTACAGCCTCCTTCCCTGGGCAGGGACCCTGCTCATCCTCTGCCTTCACCATCCCTGTAACCCCGGATGCCCCCCATTTCCTTCTCTCCTCTTCTTGCCTCCCCAACCAAACTCCCTGGCCCCTTTGAATCTTCACCTGGCCTCTGCCCACCCACAGTCTCCTATCATCCTGCCACTGCCCTGTACCCTCTATGGTCTGACCAAGATGTTATGGATTAACATGCCAGGAGGCTTGTGTCTCTCGCATGGCTGGTCCTTGCCAAGGCCTCTGGTATACTGTTCAGGATGGCCCTTAGAGGGCACCCCAGGTCTGGCTGCAGCCCCCATGGGGCCCAGACCATCAGAGGCACTACATGATAATTTGCTCTAATTCGTTGTAACCATGAAATGTCAGATAACAAGCAAGTCAATAAGTGAGGACTAGGTATATTTTCAAAGTAAAAGATTCACAATTTTCATTGTAAGTAGGCGAAAAAAAATGAATGCATATATCAGAAAGAGTTTACAACAAAACAAAACAAAAAATTATGGTAACATAAGGAGAGTCAACAAGCACTTTTCTGTTTTCATTTGCTTATGTAACACTATACCCTATTTCAAATTATTTACTGGCAGATACGGATTTTGAGGTAGATCAGACCCTATATGTATTTCCTTATGTAATGCAATCAGCCAAACATAGCTTTCCATGATTGACCCAGTTGAATTCCTAGTCTCTATGCAGTCTCTACAGTTAGTTTTTCTAATAGTCTAAACTTTCTACTCCTCTTTCCTCTAAAAGAAAGCTATAAATCTAAATACCTCCCCCATATTTAATTTTAAAATGACATAACATTTTTCATGTTATTCATAGTGTAAAATATTGCAAAGGATATTGTTCTGAGTTTATAGTACATTTGATGTACTTAAAATTTAAAATAAAACAGCCTTTTAAACACACTTTTACATATATCCAAAGGAAGTGAAACACCATAGTAATTTGTACCTACCATTATCATTAAAAAACACAACGATCAATCTGTAAGGAATAGCAACTAGCTCATGTTTCTCCTTTGCCTCATCATATTTCCACTCAATTTCCCCTACAAAAATGTTAACCTAATATACTTGAAGGTCTTTTACTGATTACTTTATTAAATTTCTTTGTAATAAAAGTATGCATATAAAGTGATGATAATGCTCTAAATGCTAGAAATATTCATCTGAATGAGTTTAAGAACTATTCCCGGGTCAAAAAAAAAAAAAACCTGTCTTTCAAATTTTGAGAAATGAAAGGAGCCAGCATTCATCATCAATTCTATTCCTATTGCTTCTTTCTACTGATGAATGTGTTGAGAAACAGTGTTTATAAAACTAAGTAAAAGAGTTGTTATAGCAATACCATTCAACTCTTTGAATACTTCTGAGCTTCAAAACAGAAATGAGTGTCATCTCATTAAAAATTACTTTTAATGATCTACTAGCTGACAACTAATTTTGGTCCTGAATTTTGCTATCTAGTCATTAGAACCATTACTATCTCAATACCAATACCAGTACTTGGAGTTGCCTCTGGAAAAATTTGTATGTTCTGCATCAATATACCACAGTTAAGGTTCAGGACAGTAAGAAGTAAGCCTGTAAACTTTTGTAAAGTGGTAGAAGGAAAATATAAAAGGAGAGGTGACAAAGGAAATAAATGACAAGAGATGACAGGCAGTGTTCTCTGGGAGATTAATTTTAGGAAAGAGTACTCATGGATTGAAAAGATTCTCTTAACATGATACATATTCCATCCAGGTGAGCAAATCTTTTCTGTAACGACCAGACAGCAAATACTGTAAGTTCTGAAGTCCAAACAATCTGTTACATCTACTTAAAGCTGCCACTGTATCAAAAGAGCAGCCACTGATAGTACATAAATAAATAAGAATGGCTATGCGCCAATAAAACTTTATTTAAAAGACAGGCAATATAACAAATATGGCCTACAAGTTATAGGCTACTGATCCCGGATTTATACAATACTCAGAAAATCTTGGATGGTTGGCTAGTTTTGTAATTTAATATTTTACTAGTAAGTTAATTCAATACACTTTTGCTTATATTGATACTCAAAAATGCAAAATATTAATGAGTATATATAAAAAAAACAACCCACAAACATGCTTCAAGCTGGAAAAGTTAACAAATTACAACTTTTACTTTTTATATAAATGACAACAGAGATTCTAATTTTCAGTTCCCAATAAGCTCAGGTCCTAATGACTGGCTCTAAAGAGTACAGATTGAGTTACCCCAAGTTGTATTTTCAATCACAACCTCTGAAAATATATATTGTTGTTATACATGCCATAATTATATATGAAGATACTTATCATAAAATTAGTATAAGCTTTCCCCCAAATACTAGAATGTGTTTCAATCCAAGGAGGCAACCATGAAGTATTTCCATAATGTTGTTGTTGTTGTTTTGTGCCATGGATTCGGTTCTGACTCATAGCGACCCTGTACAGGGTTTCCGAGGCTGTAAATCTTTAAGGGCATAGAAAGCCTCATCTTTCTCCCTCGGAATGGCTAGTAGTTTTGAACTGCTGACCCTGAAGTTTACAACCCGATTTGTAATCACTACACTACCAGAGCTCCTTATTTCCAGAATATTCAGCATATTATTATCGATTCTATGAAACAGCTTATGTAAAAATAATATGGGATGTTTTATTTTTAAGAACAGTAATTCATTTTATTTTTCAACATGGCGAATCATCCCTTCCTGAGTAATATGTAAACAATCTGAATATCTAATGCTGAGTATCTGAGGAAACAGGTACTCTCAGATAATACTGATTACTGTTGTTAAGTGCTATAGTCGGTTCCGACTCATAGCAACCTTGCTAATGTTTCCAAGGCTTTAAATCTTTTCAAGAATACAAAGCCTCATCTTTCTCCTGTGGAGTGGCTGGTGGGCTTGAACCTCTGACATTGTGGTTCAGAAACCAATGTTTATCTTACTGAGCCACTATGCCCCAATAATACTGATGAGAGTGTAAATTCCAATTTTGATAACAAATTGACAGTATCTAAAATGTAAACCACAAGGTTCCATTCCTGGATACTTATTCTAAAGAAACACAGAGATATATACGCAAAATAGGTTTCACTACAATACTGTTTTGTTATAGGAAAAAAAAAAACCAAAAACTAGAAATAGGTAATTCATTAAAAATAAACGTGACCATAAATAGAATAAATAAATACGATAACTGTTCTAGGAAGTATTAAGCAGGATAAGGGTATAATAATGAGATAGAATTCAACACAATGCTAAGATAAATGGGACTGGAGAGCAGTGTTTGAACTTTTATAACAACAAAAATTACTCAGGTAAACTTCAACACAAAACTACAAATGCTAGCACCAAGGAAGCACTTACTTCATCAATAAAGGCTGGTTCCGGCTCTGGCTCTATTGTCTCTACCTGTATATCATCACTAAATTGTACCGTCTTCTTCTCTGTTTTAACTGTAAAACAGGTAACACTTATCATTTCCTTATAATAAATCCAAAATTCAATTTTAAAATACTGTAAGTTCCAAGAGAGAATTTGAGTTGTTCTTATATTCCTACCAAGTTGACTCAATCAATTTAGGGAGTATTTGGGCTAGATATAGGCAACAATTTCAAAGTATTAGTTCATGAAATTCTGTCAGAATTTCTTAATTTTCTTTTCTAAAGACTTCACATTTTTTTCAGAATAGGTAATTCACTAAAAATAAAAGTAAAATTTCTGAAACAAAGATTATCAACTACCATATACCAGATTTTAGTAAATTAGACAATGACAAGGAAAGCTTTACAACAAAAATAAACTTTACAATGTAAAATAAACACTTTAAAATTTCAAAGAAAATATTCATTTGATCAATAGATCATGCTACTTAGATCATGTACTGGAAAATTAGTTCTATATTTTCTGGCATATCACCTGTAAACATATTTATTATGACAATATCCAGGCAAGCAGAGAACTTTACAAGTGGCTTTGACAGGGGTTTGAATTTTCTACTAAATCTACTTGTTTTCTAATTTACATTACACTTTGTAATTTATTAAAGGATCCAAAAACCACTGACCTTCCAGAATAGTTACCATGCCTACCTTCAAATATTACTTATATAGCAGTAATTAATAAATGTAAGATGATGATTAATATAGCAATTTTCTCCAAAATAATACTGCGAGGCACCTATAAAGGAACACACTTACTTTAAATATTTTTTTCTAGGTAAAGGCTATACCTCTCATCCTTGCCTTACTGAGGTCAGCTGTCATACAAATACTATTAGAAATCAAGATGGAAGAGGAGACGGAAGAGAGGCACCATTAAGGAAGGGAACTATGTTTATTGAACTTATTAAATATGCCTGATAGAGAGTATTATTATATTTCCCCAGTGAATCACAGAACAATCATATCAGATATGTCCACATTATAGATGAGGTTGAGTTCCTTGTTCTTGTTGTTAAGCGCCATCAAGTTCTAACTCATAGGGACCCTGTATAGGGTTTTCTGAAGAGAGGCAGGTGAGTTTGAACTGCTGACCTTGTAGTTCAGTGCTTATCCTATAGAGCTACACCAGGATTCCAATAGGAAGATTAAAAACTCTTATATAGAGAACAAACAAGATGGTGGATTGGGTGGACGTGTAGCAGACAGCTCCGCCAAAAACAACACAGAATACCCGACCAAGCAGGCTCAGGGGATGGTCCCAGAACTCTGAATCACATATAAAGGACTATTTAGAAGGTTGGAAGGCTCACAGCTGGGGGAATTTGTGGCAGAAGCAAGAAATCTATTGCTTTCTAGTCCGGGATGCTAAGCTGCTCCAGGAGCCGCCATCCTGGGTGAGACCATGTGGGGAAAGGATCAGAGCGGCCACAGACACCTGGCAGAACCTCTGAGATAAAGGTGTGGACATTCTTTTCTTTTGGTATCTATTCATTGGTCCCTTGCTATCTGCGCACCTCCATTCTGGTGACTATAGGGGTGCCTGAGCTAGTGGGCACCCAGCCCCATCCTCGGAGGGTTCTACTATGCATGTGCACAAATCTCCTCGAAATTTAAAGAGACAGTTTCCAATTAAAACCAAATGGCCACTGCCAGCCCTGAACTGTTTACAACTAGAAAAAAGGCCTGAACGGGCATTATGGAGCGGGACAAGCAGACAAATGAGGAAATAGGCTGAAAATTAAATCCTAAATTACGTCAAAAC